TAATGCATTTGTACAAAGCACGAAAATACTGAGTATCAACTCTCCTCTCTTTTCAGACTTCAAACTTCAGCCATCAACAGAAAACAGAACAATCTACTGCATTCCTGGCAAAACTGACACAGATGTTTATACTGTGTTCTCAGGCTCTTCACTGAGAATCTGGGTGCATCCAGCCACTGACCACAATGTGCTGAAAACCCTCCCTTGTCACCCTCAGCTCTTCTCTTCACACTTGATTCTTTCTGTAGTCCAAGCAGTAATCACTCTCACTTGCTAAAAATATCAGTGTATCTCTAAGCACACTTAACACATACTTAAAAAACGAATCCAAACTAATAATAAATAATATAACATATATGAACCACATAAACTGATTTTCAGAAACTTACCTCTTCCAAGCCATCAACGTCTATACACAAACATGGTTTATTTCAACACTTAGTTAAGACTGCATTAAGACCTAGTTAAGAATATTTTAAGAGCGTATCTAGCATTAATATAAAAAATGACTGATATTTTTAAAACCTAAGATGAGACAAGATAAAATGTAGAAAGTGATGAGTGCTAGGTGATGTGAATAAAGAAGAAGCAGCATAAGTTTACCAAATTTTAAAGAAAAAAAGATAGAATCACCTCTCAGCTTTTCATTTTCCTAAATGTATATATTTCAGAATTTTTAGCCACTGTGTTTTTCCAGAGGGAGAAAATTATTCTGTTTGAGAAACCCCATAAAAAGGTACAGAAGTCATCCTGTGAATTTAAGTAGGGGACTGAAACATTTGAGCTACTTTCAAAACAGGCTTATTAAGAAGTGAGCCTTTGTGCTTCTGGCACAGGGACAGCCTTGGAGTCTGTACTTGGTCACACACCTCCTTTATGTAATTTAAAGTCATAGTTCTTATTTACCAGTGTGAACAATAATGTCTGTCATTATATACACACTATATATAATGAACAACAGTGTGCATAATTCCCTTACTTCATGTTCAGCTGCATTTTCTGAGAAACCCCAAGACCTGTCTATAAAATCCTTTCAGTTTCTCCCTATCTCCAGATGAGCAGACAGTGCACAGACTGCTGAGAGGGAGGAGGTAACATTAGGAATTTTCCTGGAATTAGTGTACTTTAGACAAAAGAGACAGCAAAAAAAAAAAGTCAGTTTATCACATTATGAAGCAGTCTGTTCTGCTATTGGACATGATTACCAAAATGGCCCATAAATAACACAGCTCTGGTAAGTTACAGTAGAGAACTGTTAACTGAATTTGTTTAGTATAATCCTTGACCTCATATCTCACTTCTGACTCTCCCATCCTTTATGGATAACCCTTTTATTAATGAATAATAAAGTTATACACATATTCAATCTAAAACGCACCTGGTCAGGCCACTGTTTTCCAAAACATTAGAGATTTTGTGCTAGCCACATCTTTTACAGAAAAATTACTATAAAACATCTTAAAGAGCTTTCAAAAATGAATCAGTAGGATGAAAATGTAAATTTTTACACAACACAAAAGGACACAGTCACGCTATGGAATGTACCATTCCTTACATCCATGAGAGGAGGCTGGAGAAAGAATATTGAGGGACTACATATTTGGGAGTAAGAACAAAAGCTCATTGGATTATATTTTCCAAACTATAGGTTTAGCTGGTGCATGCATTTTAAATTATATAGAAGGCTGCTCAAGTGTGGAGTACTAGAAAGAGTCCTTATCATGCTGAAGTTGATGGTACCAGATAATTCCATTGATTGTAAGACTTCAGAATTGATGACAATATGCAGTATTTAAAGCTATCATAAATAAACTCCAACAAAACAAACACAGGAAATCAATGGTAAAATGTGTCAATTTTGCCAAGTTCTCCAAAGTTAATGAATGTAAATCTAAATAGTTGTCAAAAGCACATACTATTGCTCAAGAAAGCAACTGAAGACTTTGTAGGATGAGGAAAACAATGCATTTTAAGTCTACTCTTGAAAGTGTTCAGATAATTTCAAGCATTCAAGGGCTCTTGCTGAGGCACAGCCCTGCCAGACACAAAAACCTCGACTGAGAGTTCCAGACTTACAGAAAAAAATTTCTTCTCAGTATTTCATGTAATCAACATGCAAAATCTGACTCAAAAATTTCCTGCCTTCAGCACCTTTAATTATTCTTCTTTCCTCTAGAAGGCAGCAAATCAGGGGATTCTATATTGAAAGACCTGGGAAATGTCTTCTCATCAGACAATGTTAGCTAGTAGGCTCCTTTTTAGGATTTTATGTGGAGTCACAATCCTTTTTGCCTACTGATTCTGCTGATAATGTTTTCTATCCATTTTACTAAACATAAAAAGAACAATAAAGCCATATTTGTTGTTGCAGTGGCATCTCACAATGATATAAATAACTCTCCTGTAAGTGAAGTCAGGTGAATGAGTCAAACGCAGCAGATAGAAACACATTCTCCTTTGCATTTTTAAACCTGGTTTTCCCACAATCCCATCCCTTTTGACCATAACAACTCTGGTCAAAACGTCTATTTTATTAATAAATGTTGAGGTAAATTGAGTAATTAATGGTTCTTCCTGCCTGGTTATTGAAATGATTGATTTAGAAAATAAGTCTTGGTTGAAAGACATAACGTGATATGGCAGTACTTGAATTTAAATGTAATTGCTCCTCCACTAGTTTAAGTATTTCTTTTGCCTACAAATACAGAAACTACTCTTATTTTTTTGGCATAGAAAAATTTTTCAGTCAGAAATAAAAACTTATTGCCTTTCTTCTCCCTTTCATAAAATTTCCCTGCAGATTAAGAACTACCATTATATCTTGTCTTTCTCTGTTCTATCCTCAAAAAGACTGAGAAAAATCTAGTATATTATCAACACTGAGCTGTTTGAAAGAGCTAGAAATACTGCTCTATTATCACAGCAGGAATTTCCTAAGTGATGAGTTCATCATAGTGTGCACAGACATTCTCCTGGAAGGTAGAATAACGCCTGTACCTGAAACTCAAAGCCAGCAAATCCTAATCTTGAATTGGTGCCAGGTCATGTTTTGCCAGACAAAGATATTAAAAATGTAATGCCAGTACTAACGAGAGATTTGGCACACGAAACATGAGAAATGTTACAGATTGTGCTGACAGTGTGACACTATGTTTTCCCGGATGTAATCTGGGTATCATGAGAGTAAGCTTGGAGCACTAATGAGAAGAATGATATTGAACTGGAAGAGCTGCTAAATATGCAGTAGCCACAGGGTTCCTGGAGTGAACTGGAACTGAAATGAAAACTGCAATACTGAAAGTAACAGAGGGTAAACTAGGCAGAATTACAGAAGGAAGAGAATCTCAGCAGGCAAAACTTGTTTGTGGTACCATGCTTGCCAGGACATAAAGGGCTTTTCTAATCATACTCTGTTTATCCCTGAAGTACTGTTAAAGAGGAGCAGGATTCTCCAGCTTAAAGGGGCACATATCAGTTCAGGATATAAATGAGTTTCACAACTGACTGGAAAAAGCCATGTATAAAAGCTGAAGAGAAACCCCCTTTAGGTGCAAGAACTGAAATTCATATTGGAGATACAAAGTTCATTCTTTGTTTTTGTGGTTCCTGGGTTTTTTTTTTTTTTTTTTTTGGTGTGTTTTTTTTTTTTTTGGGTTTTTTTTTTTTTTTTTGCTGTTGCCCGTGTTGACTTTTTTTTTTTTGCCTCCTATTTTTATGAGCTACAGTTAGTAATTCTTATATGAAATGTATATGAAATTCTTTTACAAATTCTTTTTTTGACCATCTCTGTTGGAATTCTCAGCATTTGCACTACAGGTCTAGACAGGAGACATACACCCAAATAACTCTGACAGCGAACAAAATCTGTCAGTGTGCTAGATATTCACTTATTGAGACACAAATCACAAATATAGATATGTATAACCATTGAAGAAGTGTTAACATCACTAGAACTTTAAACAGAATGCTATCTAATTTATCTCTTCAGCCTTCAAATGAATGCCCTTGTTCCATAATTCTCAGTAGCTACCAGTGTTGCCTCTGGCATCCTGGCTTCTCTTAAACTGCTAATATCTTTAATTACCACTTATTTTGTATATAAAATTCACTACTGAAGTTATACTTAATTTTCCACTTCTAAGAGAGGATGAGATTCACAAGAAAGCAGCAGCCAGGTAGTTCTTTGTCTTTAGGAGTAGGATAACGGAGGGAAAAACAACATAACCTTGAAGCTCCATATTGTGACTGCTCCAGTTGTCATTTATTTCCACTGCAGTCCAGATTCACACTCTTCACAGGAATGCAGAGCAGGAAGTTTTAAGGCAGAGTAGATGTATACCTTCCCCTTCCTCAGTACAACACAGTTTACTACTATCAGTACTTGGAGATAATGCATAATTCAGTTTGTCTTGTATTAATGTATTATACAAGGGAAAAAGAGCAAAGAAAATTTAACCCATCAAGAAAGAGCGGGCTACTCCACAAAAAGTCCTCCTCTGCTCTTTCTGTAAAGTAAGCAGACTTGCTTTTATTTTTTTCCTTTTTATCTAATGTCAAGCACAAGGATACCAAAAATAAAGCAGTGTTTTTCTGGATTCAGAACTATGTCAAGAAGAAATTACTTCCCACTTTTAGCAACAGGGATCTTATTTTTGGATGTACTTGGAAAGTGCACCACAAATGGAGATTATTATTATTTTCTTCAAAGATTAAAGCAATTATGTTTTGACTAAAACATGTAACTGTAGTGTTCTGACAAACAGCACTGAAAAAATCTAAGCTACCACCCAGAGCAACTACTACTATCCATTTCTCCCTGTTATATCATATTTTAACTTGTTTAATTCAGCCTCGAAAACAAGTGCACAAAGGAGTAAAGCCCAACCTCCATTCCGTACAAGGATTAAACCTGGGAAATAATTTAATAAAACTCTACAAGAAAAATGACTTAAGTGTTGAGGACAATGCAGCACTAATGTGTTTCATAAGCACTGCCTTACCGGCTGGAAGAGGGTCAGTGCACATGTCACTTCTGTTTTGCTTCCATGCCAGCAGGCACTGCAGGCTGAGGGGATCGGCTGCTGCTGCTGCTATGTGGCTGTTGAACGCCACCATCAGCTGATGAGCCTTGGCAATGCCACAGTAACTCTCTGTTTCAGCCACCAAGGGCAAATTGTTCAAAGCTTTCGCTGCTTCAGAGGCCTGACTGAAGTATTCCAGAGCTTTGTTATAGTTCCCCTAGTAAAGAAGAGGAAAAAAAAAAAAAGAAAATAATGTTAAAAGCTACTTGTAGTCATCACCTGTATTTTGTCTTGACATCAGAGCTCCTCTGATGCCTCAGAGATGTGGCAGCCCATGGAGTGACTCATGGCAGGGCATTAAGCAAATCACTCTCCCTTGCTGTTTTCTAACCTCTAAAATCCAGGAAACACTGCTCATATCTTTGAATTGAATAGTTTTTAGTTATTTCTGTAGCATTTTGAGCGAACAAATCCAACTGTACCAATGCTAAGTATTAATAAAGATTGCAGCCAGGCCACTTAGAAATTATTGTTTCCTTGCATTCAACATATCAACATATCGGGGAGAAAAGTTCCTAATTTATGGTAGTATTGAATCTTAAAAATAAATCCTAAAAATGGAAAAACAGAGGATAATAAAGGAATAGACTTAAAGCACAGAAAAGACAGAAATTAAAACTTACTCATTTATGGGGGAAGAAAGGGGTATACAAAACCCTAGGGATATTCCTAATCACAAAAAGAGAAACAGTAGGAGAAATGTAGCCCAACTGTTGCTGAATAGAAAACTCAAATAATTTATCTCTCTATCCTACCACTGGTGTGGAATTCTGCTGCTCTGGTGGCAGAAACCTCCTGACTGAAAACATTTTCTGAGCTGTCTTATCCTCTCACTCTCACCTTGATTTAATAAAATTGAAATTCCCTTCTGTATGGAGACTGGGAGGAGAGACTCCAACTGGTACCTGTTTCATTTAATACCACTTTTTGGGATGAAAATAGTAACTGCTAAAATATACTTACAATTAAAAAAGGAAAAAAAGAGTCATAGCAATTCTCGTAGTCTTTCAGCTTTGTTTAATACAGCAGAACAACAGAATTAGGCTTATGAGGACATGACAATGAATTAAGAATGATAAGTTGTAATATAATAAAAAGCAGAAACACCTACTTACCAGACTCAGGAGAACTATAGCAGCTTAAGTGATGCAAATAGTGAGAGGAATGTAGCAAATCAGAAAAAATGAAACGAGAAATGACAGAGTGTATCACACAAACTTCAGAGTGTACATATTAAGTAAGCAACCTGCTTATCGAACCGGGGGAAATGAGACGCACTACTCCTGCATAACACCAACCCAGGAATTTTAGGAAACAAGAAACATCTGGGTAAAACAATTGTGACTAGAAAGCAAACTTTGCGTATAGCATTAAAAAAAGACAGTACTGGTGAGGGAATAGTGAGATGAGAGCTGGAAAGATACAGCAACAGCATGGACAGAGCAAAGTGAATTTGATCAAAGTGATTTGTGTTTGGAAGAACAGGAAGAGTTATATCCTTGGTTAACTAAAGGTCCCCATGGATAGATCTGGATATAAACAGAAATATCTATAATTTGATGGACAGTACTGCTGCATCACTGGGGGATATACAGAGTTGAATAAAAAGACCCTAATAATGACTTAACTTAGAAAATACTGGTGATGACAGCTGACACCAGCAGGCAGTGATCCAAAAGAGGAAATGTTAATTCACACTCAGTTTTGGTAAACACTACTGACCTTGCAGAAAAAAAATGATACAGAAAACAGGGAATTGCAAACTTCAAGATTTTTAAATTCATGTTTAAACTAATTATTTTATATACATTAATAAGATTAAGTTACTGCACTTGTGCCCTTCTACCACCACTGCCTTAGCTCAAGGCAGAAAATTCTGAACTGAGAAAGAGTATCTGAAGAATAATCAAATAGAGGCTAGTTATTAAAACACCAGTTCTATTGAATTGATTATTAGTAATGGTGTAAGAAAGAGTGGAATACAGAAGTAGTTAAACATAAATTATTTAATTATTTTTCAGATTTGGAGAAGAATAATCCAGCACAGTGTCATATGACCCTTCTAAGTTTCAGACCCATTTTACAGTTATTTCATCAAGTTGTCAAAGACCTTAAAACTTAGTTTTCAATAGGAAAGTCAGCATTTATATTAAGAATATCTGTAAACAGAAAACTCTCAGGTTACTTTAGAGATTACAGAGAAAAAAAAATTACTACTGGGTATGAAATAAAAACAAGACAAACAGAACAAGAATTTTGGTAGTGGAAGTTCTCTGTAAGAGGAACCCAGGGAAAAAAAAAAAAGGGGTATTTAGGGATAGTGTAAGTGAAAAGGAGAAAGGACTCTGTTCAGTATATTACACACAGAACTTATGACAAAAAAATATGCAACAGAAGATAGAAAGGGTATTTCTATTTTTATTTTATTTGTAGAGAAAGTATTTCCTAAGTTCCATATTATCCAGCATACAGAACAAATTATTTTTATTACTTATTGTATCTAAATAATTTTGTATAGCAATTCAGCTCTAAAATAGGTGTTAAAGCATGAATCTTTCACATTTGCAGCAATGTCTTTAACAGTTTTGATTTCAAAACCCAAGTGTCACTGCAGTGCAAGCAGAGACAAGAGAAAGTCCTTCCAATGCTAACAGACCATTGACAAATTACTTGCTGCTAGAATCCATTTAATAAATTTGGCTGAGAGAATGTAGAGAAGAAATGAAGCTAAGATTATAAACAGCCCATTAGTATGCAATGCAGTATACATTCATGTATAGTGCAATAAAACTTCATTCGCATTAACTAATGACTCTTTATGGGCATATATGGCCCCAATGCTGATCTGGATGCATATTTTTCACAACATGTAAAGTTTGTCCTGATCTGAATTTGGAGTTTTTTATTCTCTTTTAGAACAAAACTCCATGTGTTAAATATGATGTGAAATTTTTCCCTTTCTCAGAAAATTAAGACACGTTTCATTTAGTCATGCAGTGACTTCTCCTTGAGTAACTCCTGCAAGATGCAACACCTGGACCAAATCCTCCTGTGTTATCTCATAGGCAAAACCAGATTTTACCAAGAAGTAAATCAAGTTGTTTGAGATCATTACTACAAACAGTACTTACTCTTTCATTGTGAACTTTTCCAAGTAGGACATTTGCATCCACCAGGCTTTGGCTTAGATTAGCGCTCTCAGCGTCCTTTATAAACTCTCCCAAGTACTTCACAGCCTCATTTGATTTTCCCTGACTGAAGCAAAGGACAGGCACAAAATGAAATATTTACTCAGATGGCTTCTTCAAATGCTGAAGATCTGCCCCCTTATTCTGAAGCAACTTTACTTTGTGATGACTCATCAATGACTGGATTTTATTTCCAAATGGCCTCCAGCACTACCTGTGCTGAGCCCAGTGAGACTACTCCACACAGAATGTCTGAGGGTAAAACTGGATCCTTTCAACAAAATAGAACAAAACTTTCTTTCAGAATATTTTGCCATATCTTAAGGCCAAGAATGAAAACACAGGTGGATGATTTAACAGGGCTTTTGGACCTTCCATTATTTTATTTTTTTAATTCTGAGCTGCTGATAGTATTTTCAATTCAGCTGGACCTCACATCCTGACAAAACAGGGGAAGGAGGTATGAAGGCATTTTTTTCAGTAAGGTTTTCTGTCATTCAGAGCTGCTCTAGAACCTGGTGATGAAGCAGCAGCTCCACAAAAGTGCTGTTCTGTGTCAGTTCTGGGGTGACAGCCTTTCCCTGAAACACAATACTGCCCTTTGGCTGGGTGGATCTAAGGCGGCCAGGGTCACACAGGCAAACCTATAAACTGTGGATTGCAGGTGCCACCCCCAAATCCCAGTGAGCTCAGAGCAAGCTGAGGTCACAGCTGCATCTAACTTGAAAATTGGCTGACGTACTTTGACAATAACATTTGCAGATTTCCTTTTTTATTTTTTAATAAAGCCAGTCATACTAACAATATAAGACCTCAGCAGTGTGATTGCAAGATATAAGACAGACATCTGAGCTTGCCTGTGAATAAGGCTCGGTGCTCTTTTTTTCTTTAAGGCCAGAGTGTTATTCCAGCTGACCTCAATATTAGCCATGAACTTGAGTCACTAATGTAGGAGAGTAGCATGCTAAATGTCAAGGCACCAAGCAAGACAGAAAATCCAGTCTTAATTAAGAAATTCACAAAAATAGGAGTTTCTGTAAGCGATAAAGAATTGTGATTTATTTTCTCACCATCTTAAACTACCTTCAAGCTACATTCCCACAGCAAATGATGGCCTGGCATTTATTTACAATACAGTTTTTATTATTAATTATATTAGGGATATATGCTTTCAAAATCTTGCAGAACTCTGCATTTCCCCCTTTTATGCTGTTGGAGTAATTATAACAGCCTGCCACGAAACAGGAAACACAGCAAAGCTTAGCTGCAAATTTAAAATATTGCAGTGATTATCTGTATGTGACTGAGAGGGCAAGATTACTACAAAAGGATTCTAAATCACTGCAAACTAATATTCTTGAAATGCTCAAGTATATGCTAATGTAAAGCTTAGAGGTCAATTAGCAGACTTGGATTTACTAAACTTTCCTAAGTTAAATATTTTATTACCATGAGAATACAAAACATACTGGACTGTAATCATTTACCAAATGTCAAAAGGCTTCTAAATTTTAGAATTAGAAACACATTTTTTTAACCTGTTTTTTTTTTTTTTTCAGAGAAAAGAAAATCAAATGTTTCCCTACAGAAATACAGCATATGATTTATATAAGTTAAAGGACAAGGTTAAAGTGTTAGACAAATATTAATTCCAGTTTTTCTAGTTTTCTATATGCAGTGCACAGGTGCAACTTGAAGAGCATATTATATGGTATAATCATTAAATCCATTCAACCAGACCTTTGAGAGTTAAAAACATATATTCTGAGGAAAAGGACTCCTTGGTCCAAGGAATGAGAATGAAACAGTGCAGAATATTTGTGTATCAAGGTGATTCCAGTTTCCAATTGGGAAAACAGGACTGTTAACACCCACATCCCCTGACAACTGTCCAATTATGTATATCACACTTGGCCTACTGTTTGCAGTAGAAGTAATCAATAAAGGATGTGGTTGAGTGAACATAGATTTTGGTTGAACCAATGCATGAAAACTTAATCATTTACTCAGAGTGAAGAAATCAAATAGAGCAGAGATGAAACAGCCACTAAGGGGTTTGTGATTGTACCCCCAAGTTTGTGGGCTAGAGGCTGAAAGTAATAAAGCAAATGGAATCAGTGACAGGAGAAAATGTAAAAAGGTTTTCTTAATTTCATGAATTAATAGAAATGTTTTGATGTATTTTTGGCCATTTTTTTACTTTTCACATCAAAACTTCTGTTCCACATATAGAAAATATGAAAATTGCTAGGGCATATAACCTCTTTGAGGAAAACAGGAATCAATTTGATACATATCAGACATATATTTCTCACTGTTAGGACTTCACTTATGCCAGCTAGAAATGGGTTGGTACAGTTTAACAATTTTTCAAAGGAAGTACTTTTAAAAGCACTACAGCTTGAGATATTTAAAGTATGCTAGTGCTAGAAAGATTACTGAAACACTTTATCCCGCACAAGACCTGATAACATGATAAACAGGTCTTTCCTACTCAAAGGGCTAATATTTTATAGTTCCTTCAAAAATCTACATGTTATTTTATACAGCCATATACTTTCTATCTCCTTAGACATCACCTTCCTAAATGCATAAAATGCAATTTCCTAAAGATATAGTCATTCATGATCCCACAGAACAGTTATGATGACTTCAGCAGAAGAGATTACACATCCACAGCAACTCGTTTTCCAGTTTCATGCTAAAATGCCCTATGAGATTTTTACTCCTATTAGACTTTTATGAAAATATGCACCTTTTATAGGATTGCTCATGTGATGGAATTGGATGTATAAATCATGTGTCCACAAGAAATCATTACCATGGTGGACACTGGCAGAATAAGTCAAGAACATGATGCTATTATGTCAGATTCTTTCCCCTGGAAAATGACATGACTAAATGCACATGATAAAGATTTTCAGTTTCCCATAGTCTCTGAAAACATCTGCAGCAAAGATTTCACAAAATATTCCAAAGCCATAGACAGGTTATGAGCCATTCAGGAGGGCTCAGGAACTTTCTCCAATCTGTCATGAGGCAATAAGTGAAAATTCTCACAGATATTATGGTTGTAATGCATTGTTTTTGGGAAACAGTCATCTTCCCGTGAAGATGTTATCCATCAAATTTAAAATTATTTACACAAATCTAGCCTAGGCCAGGTGAAAATACAAGTAAAGAAAAATTGAACATATCAGCTGAATATGGGGATTCTGTCACCAGCAGTAATTATTGGTGCTTTTATCCAAAGTGTTCTGTGTCCAGCTCTGGCATCCTCATCACAGGATGGATATGGACCTGTTTGATGCAGAGGAGACCACCAAGATGCTCAGAGGGCTGGAGCACCTCTCCTATGAAGACAGGCTGAGAGAGCTGGGGTTGTTCAGCCTGGGGAAGTTGCCAGGGAGACCTTACAGTATCTCATGTGAGTTTATAATAAAGATGGGCACAAATTGTTGAGCAAATGTTGGGCCTGATGCAACAGGACAAGGGGCAAGGACTCTAAAATGAAGGAGGGTTGATTTAGATTAGATGTATGGAAGAACTGTTTTACAATGAGAGTGGCAAAACACTGGAAGGGGTTTGCCCGAGAGGTGGTTGGTGCCCCATCCCCAGAAATATTCAAGGCCAGCCAGAATGGAGCTTTGAGCAGCTTGAGCTAGTTGAAGATGTCCCTACTCACTGCAGGTGGTGGACTAGCTGACCTGTAAAGATCTCTTCCAACCCAAACTATTTTCTGATTCTATCATTCTATGATTCATAGATGCCCAGACTTTTCCACATGTAAGTTTCTCAAACAACTGAAAGTTTGAGAACCATTATGATATTTTACAGGGTTGAACAGTTAATGCCTATCACATACCCAAAGCCCTTCAGAGCAGCTATGTATGTAAGGTGTTTAATTTGGTAAATGCTCTCATGGCATAACTACCACATGGGTTTTACAAAATTAAAACAACAGCCATTTTCCAGAGAAAGGTTTTATGGTTGGTCTTCATCAAGAAGACCCAACCTATTCTCTAATCTATTCTTCAACAGATTAAATCCATGATCACAGACGTGAGACTGAACTACTCCTTCCCCTGAATTAATCAGAATATTCCTCCTCCAGGAGAATTCCTTAAACTGAGGAGTTTTACTGCTCTTAGCATCTGCTCCCACTGCTCCTCATCTCCTGTTTTCCTTCTTTTTCAAATTGCAACAACTGGATAGCAGTGGGACTGTCCATTCCTAGATAGCTCAAGAATGTTCCCAGAAGGTGTGGAATACAGATTTGATACAGAAGAAAATCACTAGCCACTCCATCTTTATTTCTGCTTTTAAGAAAAGAATTTCATTGGCATGATCTTTCAGATGAAGGGTGTAGCAAACTAACTTCAAAAAGATCTCAAAATCTGAAACTTCTGAGTAAATAAACGCATGTACCCTCATTCCAGAATGCCTAAATCACAGAAAGGAAATTAACACACATGGTTTACCAGGGATGTTCTCTTGACTATCTCAACCCAAGCCTCTATCCAGACTGCTGCTTTTTGAGAATACAAGGAGCTCATGAATGCTACTGAGAGCTCAGAAAATTGTGTACTCATTGCAAGGCCACTCACTGTAACAGCTGGTGATTTAGCTACTAAATCTTTCTTGGTTAGGCTTTAAGAGAGTTTTGAAACTGGGACCTGGTATTCTTAGTCTGTTTTGTGTCTTTTTTGAAATCTTTTCCCATGTCCTTATTTAGGATGCTCAGAATACATGTAGACATGAATTATGCATCAGAAAGCTGAAGAAGACTGTGGTTGTGGCTGATCCCTACGTGCTTGGATAAGGCCAAGAGAGAAGGGATCTGACTCAAAGAGGAGAATTTGCTCTGCACACTGAAATAAGCCAGGTGACAAGACCCTCTCCATAAACAACTGCCAAGCTCTATCATGCATCATATGCACTGAGGTCTTCAACTATAGGATAAGTCAAGAATAAGCTACAACTTCACTTTAATCTCTTTTTTTTCCCTATCTCATATGACAATTTCATTAGGCAACTTTATGTCAAAATTATTTGTACCTGAACTAATTCACTTGAAGGAAGATTTTAATGCCAGATGCTGAAATAAAAATATTGAACATAAGCATGATATTTGCAACAAATTACTACTTAGTTTCACACACACAAACCAGAAATGCTTCCACAGAAGAAGTGAGTGCAATAAATGGAAACTTACAGTTCAGAAAATATTACACTGAGACACCTACTGCAGCTTGCTACATTCTTCCAGATTTTCTTTAGTTCTTAACCTGGGAAATAGGATTCTATTTTCCAGTAAGGTGAGGTCCTCCACAAACCAAAAAAACAAAAACAAAACAAAACAAAAAAAAAAAACCCCAAAACCCCCAACATTTAAAAAGCCCTCAAAATGTGGAAGAAAAAGGACATGTTATAGTTTACAGTCAAAGAAAAACTAGAAACATACACTTTAAAAAATATGTAACAGTTTAAAATAACTTTTGATGAAAGGGTCACTTACTGCAAGAAGGGCACTGCTTAAAATTTAAGCAGTCAGTAATGGAAAGTGACAGACCTCTAACAATTTAAGTCTTTCACAGCTGAGTGAATCTGCACTGACAGTCAGACAAGGATGTGCTAACCTACCTTGCCAGGATCTTGGCTACAGCTGCATATGCTCTGCCCAGGCCAGCAGAATCACAAAGGGTTGTGAAGATTTCTACAGAGGTGTTCAAAACCTGTGAAACAGGAAGATAAAAACAGTAAATACCCCAATAGGGATTTCTACTTTTTCTTCCCCTCCTAATCTCTCTGCCTAGACAGAACACAAAATTAAAGCCTTCCCACTTCTACAACTGTTCTCTAATTAGCCATGATGGGACTAGGGTTTTGATCATCATTTATAATTGTTTGAAACTACTCAATAATTACAAATAAAAAAGATGTAATTTGCAATTATATCTCTGTATTTTGGCAACATGCAGAAAACCAAAGAAGTACTCCCTGATTTGCAGTATAAATTTCTTTATCTGTGATTTAAAAGATTTTAAGAGTCTGTGCTTTTATGAGTTTCTGATAATCTCATAAGTTAATAATAACTTAAATAACTTAAGATGGTGTCCTTTGCATCCATACTGTTTTAGAATGATATGCTCAAATACAACTTAGTATTATTTTTCTTTCTCTAATTTGTCACAACTTATCTTAGTAGAATTCAGATGCCCCAAAACTGAATAAATTACAGGTTATATGTTTAATCTATGTTGGCTTAAAGTACTGTAGACAATGCTGCTATTTTTCTGATTAATTATTCACACATGAGAAGTTTGTTAATATTAGCTTGGAATCTATTATTATGAATCCTGCCACACCGAAGGCTTATAGCTGCTGCATAAAATCTTATGATCTTAATTTAATTTTACACTGACATCACCTGTATTGCAAAATTTCTCTTTTCATCCATTTTTTTTCAATGGCTATGACAGGAGAATGCATATAAAATTAAATCTTATTCTTTCATCCCTCTTCTTTGTTGCTTGACCCAATCTATTACACACATGAGAAAACAGGAAATCTCCAAAGACTCTCTATGGAAATCCTTTTTGCACATTTCCAAGAAAGGAGTAGTGAATGTCATTTACCAGTTCTGAAAGAGGATGGAAGATGCCCAGGGACATATGACACTATCCTGCATGCCCTAGGATGCCTATTTATACTGAGGTAAAAAATTGGGCATTTTCTACTCAGAGTGCATCCCTGTCATTGGCAAAGTTCAGGAGAAGACAATCTCTGTGTGCTAATGCTGTGCATAAGACCATTTTCATTGCTGTTTCCACCACTCAAATTTCCTAGTTCTTGAAACAGTTTTTCTACATGCATCAGCATCCCTGGACATGGCTCTTATTATGTAGCTACACAAGCTCTGTGTACACCAAAAGTAGCATTTATTAATGTGCACAGCCCTATTTATCATCCCTCAAGTACTTTCTTATCAGCAGAGTTCCAGTGTTGCATCTTATCCTTGCAGGGCACTGTCAATTGAGTTATCAATGCATTAGGTGTGACAGAAAGAGTACAAAGGCACCTCAGTTAGAAAGTTGTCACATCAACTCAGAAGCCTCCCTAAACTGAATACATATATGATGTTGTCAGTGCCTGCAGTACATCCTTCTAATAATCCAGGAGGATAGCAGAAACACACAGGTGTCTGAGAAATAATTCTTGGTATTGCATTTAACTCAGGGGACCTACAGCGTTTGTTGTAATAATCGTGCCCATATTAAAAAACCTGCTATTAGAGTGTCAGGAGGTGTCACAAATGTTATGCGCTGGACTGAAATAGTTCCTACTTTAAACTGGCCTCTACAATATTAAACTTGGATACAGGGCCTGCAGTCATTACTATCTGGCACAGAAAGGTTACTTAGAAACCTAAGGCTTTGGCTACTGTACATTTTTTTTCTATTAAAGACATCGAAAAGCCTGAAAAGTACAGATAAATCCAAGGAAAAATCATACAAAGCATAGCTGAAGTAAAAAGTTGGTTCATTGCATTGCTGCAACAGCTGTGAGAAAGAAGGAAGTAAATAAATAAAGCCCCTCATTCATATTGATGAAAAGTGCTCATTTTGGTCCCAGGTTACTACTACTCTACACAAATCAGATATTTCATTCTAAATAATGAGGGAATTACATTAATTAAATCATCTCCACGAAAGGGAGGAAATCTTGATAAATTACCATAGAAAATGTACTCTTCATGTCTGTATTTCAAATGACTCCTCCAGCTTCAGGTAACACATGGGGACACAGAAAGGGACACAGGGGCTTGATGGAAAGGAGCTGTGCACCCCTGGATGCCACAGCTGCCCAGCATCCCTTTATGTGAAAGAAGTGAAGATCACACACCTCATCTGTGATGTATGCCCAACCTTCAACACTCAGGATAGAAATATTTCAGGGCAGAAACATTTCAGGATAGAAAAAGAGGAAAAGGTAGAACAAATAAAATGATGGTTACACATAAGCATTATAGGATTTCACCCAGAGTCTCTTGAAATTACAGCATATTTAAAATTTTCATTTAAAACAAGAAAATTATAAACTTCACATGCTGGAAAATCAAGTGGAATCAACAAAGTGATGCCTGCCAGAATCTGTAAAAAGCCTAAAACAAAAAAATGAGCATGAAAAATCTCCTGATTATTTTTATGAGATAGGAACAACCAATCCATCTAACTGGCTTCCTGTGGATACCACATAGGAAAAGACATGCATGTGGCAGAGAGTATTGGATGGGCAGGGCTCTGCCAGTCTCTCTCCCAGTTCTCTGGGAAGTGCATAAATATTGGGAACACCGGTTACCATCTGGATCTAATGGAATTTGTAGGTTTCCAATGAAAAGTTTACCTTTAGACAGAAGCATAACCAGAAAATGGTATTTTTTATATATATTCACATATTGGCCATTCTGAGCAGAGAAAAATAATGTCCAAGGAAGAGATGGAATAATTAATAATTACTGTTGAAAACTCCTACACAAATGTGCAGTTTTACTGGATGGGAAAAATTCAGATAACAAAAGAAAATCCATCTTATTAACGTAAGATGCTTCTGCTGCATTATTTTATAGCAAATATTGTGTTTGAAAATGTCATATTGGTAATTTACTTTGTAATTATTCATTAATTCATATATTCATTAATAAAAATATACAACAACATGTTAATAGATATTGAATGGGACTCTGTAAGAATCTGTACTGGTAAGGTATATTCAAACCAGATTGGGTATTACACACATTTAGCCATATTTGCTTTTCAAAAGTTAGACTAAGTTTCCAGATATTGAAAGTTGCTGAAGAGGTAAAATGTCTGTTTTTTTCCTTTATATTTTGTTTAGTTTGTTTGTTTTTTAAAATTAACCATGTACAAAGAGTTCTGAGGAAGGAAGATGTTACAGTTGATTTATCTTGATCATGCTAGACTCCATTATAAAATTATAAAATTTCCACATTGTTTCAAAGACAGTTTGATACTCCTAGCAGGTAGTTGGCAAAGATTGTTGTATATGAGGTTGAACAGATTAGAATAATGTACAGTTCTTTCTACCTCTATATAAAAATGTAACCTAAGCTTAACAACATAACAATTATAAAAACTACACTGATTCTGGTCACAGATTTGTTTTTGGATCAATGTGACTAAGCACATTGACTATCTCAAAATTTTTACTTCTGTGGGTTTGTGGAAACACTAGCTTAAAAAATCCAAATAACACGAAAGTCAAAGTCTAATAGAGAAATGAACAGTAGGGTTCAATCACTTTCCTCTTTTGTGAAGGATGTGGGAAGGTAGAAGTTGAAGCTGGACTTCACCTTTGTCTTCCACATAACAGACTGCAGGATAGCTCCTGTGGGAGGATCCATTCAAAAAATCAACTCTCTTTCAGTGTCTTTGTAAGTCTGTTATGTCTACAATTACAGTGTAAAAATGAAGCATTAAGCTCTGCTTAAATCCACAAACTAGAGCCTGTTTGTCGTATGGATCTCACACTAATTCTCTAGCTAGTGGTGTATTTCAGATTTCTTTTCCAATAAAAATTTTAGTGAGCTCTCAGGCCCAGATTTACTTCTAAGTTATCTCGGCATTATGCCAGGCTGACCCTCCAGGGCTTATTCCATTAATATAAAACAGATACAGGAGCTCCTCCCCCAAGAACCACCTCCATCCAAAATCCCATCCTTTATTTTTTATTGTTGTCACACCTGTAATGCTTTTATATGTACACGAAAACATACACACACACCCCATTGGCGTACGCAGGACTCAGACAAAAGCACAGAGACTCTGCTGAACACTGGTACATCTAGGGATAATGGACAAAAGTGAAAATATTGAAAGTATGAATTTATGTTGACTAAAGAACATCTATCCAACTCAACACAAGATTAATGCTACTACCAGCATTTCACTGTTTTGGTAAAATACATTTCTCTGACAAGCACATGATAACATTGATTTCTAATACTGTAACTTTAAAAAACACAAAAGCATAGTTCTGCTTTCAGCTTTAGATTTGATATTGTTGCCAAACTTTATTGGAAATACATTCATTTTGATTTCTACAAATCTAGCTGTGTTCAGCCATTTCACAGCTGGTGAGCAGGAAAGATGCTTCTGCCTCATTTACAGATCTTGAACATGAATCAGACAATCAACTGGACCATTAGTCAAAGAGATCAGTAGCTAATGATTCCTGACAGCCACTGCAGAGGCAGGCTAAGGCCCAGCCTGGCTAGCAGTATCTGACAGTATTTTTCTGAAGCCAACAATAGGTGTTGGTAGACAGACAACGCAATTGAGTGAGACTACAGACTTATACCACTTCGTACCTCTTAAACACTTTCAGAAAAAACCACATAGTTCTGATGGTTACTAAATAATCACTTTGATATAGTCCAGTGAAAATAAGAGACAATAGAATTGTATGCATAGGCACTCTGCAGGTCAATGAACTCTGACCAGTAGCTGCCGCAGAAAAGCATATTTAAAAATGACAAAAAAGTGCAGTCTTTATTACCATAATTTGAGTGGTTACATGCCTGTGGCCATGCTGAGTAAGATCAAAGAAAAGTTTCACAATACAAACCCAGATGTATTCTTATTTTTGCCAAAACACAGCCTGGGAGAGGTTGGACAGCAAAAGAAAAGGGTATTGTTCATTAAATGTATTGATC